AAAAAACCGAAAGTACGTAGGTGCTTCGTCCGTCTAGATTCATCTACCAGTTCCCACCTTCGGCAGTTATAGCCTGAGCCGCGGGGAACTGATCATTGCTTCCATACGTTCGTCCGAACACCGCTCGTGGTCTGCGTCCCTTCGTAAGGACAAAATGAAAAAGTTCCCAAAAGGCCCGAACCAGATGGTTTCGCGTAACTTTGGCGAATTTGGCCAAAGCCCCAAGAGAGACCTTCGGGGGGTAGCCCCGGAGGTTACTCTCGATTAGTGCATATGCAAGTGAGCTGACGCATAGTGTTGAAGAAGTCGACGAGTACCACAACCTCTTCAGGGTAGCTGAGAGAACCCCCTTCTTCGACTTCTTGTCAGAGTAGCTTGCAAAATCTTGCATTGATTGGTACTTCAAAGATCCCGATGGTCTCAGCGCTTCTGCGATCTTGGTATCTTGAACAAAATAAACTTGTACTGGATTGTTGTCAACAAACATCTGTCCGGCAACGAAACTCCAGAGGTTCGAACCGTCGTCCTTTCGGACCATTTTCAGGTTAGAATTGTAGGATGCCGCAAATAGATCTACGATCCGTTGCGCATTCGTCCATGACTCGGCCTCGTGCGAGCATCCTACCAAAGTGGAAACATCATCTACCATACGCCAACCATACACTAGCTTTCTGTCTGTTCCTAGTGACCCAAGAGATCTTGCTTCTGCCATTGAGCAAGTTATCGTGGCTAGGACCGGGCTCATGATCTCACCCATTGGTACTCCTACAACTTGTCTCCTAATCAGATGTCCACATAGCATATATGCATGTGAGAGATCATACTCGACCATCTTATATATCAATTCCAACTTTACCTTCACGTACCCTGCTTCTCCTCTGTTTGTCTTCGAGAGTACGCACAGTTTCCCTCTCGTCGCTACCCTAACCTGCCTCCAACCATGGTCCTCGTAATATCGTATCAGTTCAAAAACTGCGTCTTTGATGGCGGCATGCAGTATCGAGGAAATAATTTCCTTGATATCGTAGCATCTGCCAGTAGCCATGTTGCAGCTTGTCCTCGTTACTGAGGACCCAACTTTGTTCAGTTGTTGACTCAGAGACTTAGTAGAGTTCAAATGGAAATGTAGATCCTTAGAGAACCTTGTGATAAGACAGTACAGTGCCCTAGCACACCTTCTCTGCCCTATGGTGGTCGGTCACCACAAGCTGGGCCAATTGGACGCCATCCCTGAAGGTCTTTATCTTTAGGAATGATATATGTTTTGCCAAGCTTTCCATCCGTTTTCCAGTTTCCAAGCACGGTCAGTCCAGTCTTTTCGTAATCGATCTTACCCGCTGCTAAGACCTCCTTCTCCTCCTGGTCTACCTTTTCGTAGTCTGGATTCCAAGAGAACATTCGACCAAAGGCATGCCTATACAATACAGGAAGTACCAGAACTGTGTCACCTATGTTCCTGTCTACCGGGACCAGTACCAGGCCATCGAAACGTGTAGCCCACTTCCGGACCTCGAAATCTGTTCATGTTGCAGTGTTTCCTGTAGTTATTGCGAAACACTTGTCCACGTTGATTTCCTGTCTCTCCCTACCTTTTAAATGCTATGTTGCTGCGAGTATCCCCTTCACAAGTTCTCGCTTGTGATCCAAAGTCGCACCCTTAGTGGCATTCCTAGAATTCCGAAAAAAATCCGGTACACAGTCTATCTTAGAAAACTGTGTGAGGACATGTCCTTCGTGTCTGTCCAGATTGTGTCGGGAACAGGAACATTCCTACGGCCGTGTATGTGCATATCTCCTCTGATTGTGGATAATCTCAGCAACTGCCTTGTTTCTAGTGTTCACATTCCTCACGTTCCGTTTGACAAAATGAGCAACAAAAGTGTCTGTTACCCTTGCATCGATAAGTTTCTCCACAACCCATCTCACTTCCGTCTTCCGTATTGAACTATCGTACGGATACTTCACCGTAGTCTTCCTTCTAATACTAACACTTGTCTTTCGTCTCACAACACGGTCCAACTTCACCTTCAATTTGTTCCTGTTTTTTTTTCCGCAAAAAGTCGTGCCGTCCTATAGAGTCCGACCAGCTTCTGAGTAGAGTACCTCCCGAGTGACGTCGCCATCCTTGGTTGGTTCAAGAGTCGTTGCAGCGACTGTCTGTTCCGTTCCGTATTCGTCGCATTCTTGATAACTTTCACTACTTCAAACTCTCCCCCATTCTGGCACAGGGTCCTTCCCTCCTTTAGCCTCATCGTCTTACCTTCTAAACAAATGATCGTGTCACCATACTTAGCACGTATCTTTTTCCAACCATCTGACCACTCCTGTCCGGCTAGGAATCTAATCTCTACTGGGCCATCACCCGCAGTATGTCTCTCATCTAACCAATTCATTAAAGACGTACGTTCCTCGTTCTTGGTGATAAAACTGACGATTGTCTGTCCTACTGTAGCAGGTGCTCGTTTCTTCCTTTCTCGCCTGCCTTTGCGTCGTCGTGATCTGAAGCCCGCTCGTCCACCGGTTCCGAGCGTATTGAGGCTCGGTGACAGATCCTGAATGAAATTTTTCTCGAAGTTGAAATCATCCTTCTGTATCGTGTGTCTGATAGGAATAATCACAAACTTCTGTATAAGGAATGTTCTCATCCATCTTTATAACGGTGGTGTCTTACCCAAAGTTTTCGAATTCGCTGTCAGCAGATGTTGCCTCCATAGTTGCAGAATGGGTCGTGCAGTACATCCTACATACACCCGTTCGGACCCCGGACTAGTGATCAGATACGTTCCACCAATCTTGCGATCCAGCGTGTCGTCCGAGAACTCCATCTTATCCAAAAACTTTCCAATCCATTTTACCTCACCTTTGAGTCCGAGTAGAATCATGGTAGTGGCAATGCGTCTCTCGACTTGTGTTGCTTGCTCACCTGTAACACCATGCCCCCGGAGGTCTTCTCTCTCGGCCATGCACGTGACCATGGTTATCCAGAGTTCATCGGCCGTCGGGGAAATTGATTGTCAATCGGACGTTTGCTCTTGTTCTTCAGGCGGTGCCGATCTTAGTGTCACTCTTGCTGTCCCTGGGATCTTTACCTTCCCTCTCGTAGTGACCGTAGTCTTAACCGGTTCGGTTAGTGTCTTGTCGGCCTGCTCCATGTCTTCATCGATCTTCAGAGATCTTGTCTTCTTCATCAGCGGTGTCGAGAAGAAGCCGTCATAGGCTAACTCTGTCTGTCGCTTCACCAGTTCCATCACCATATCCTCCTTTCTTGCTGGTTTATTGCCATGTTTCTCACTGATCTCGTTGAGTTGTGAGACTTTCTTCCCCGAATACTGCTTTATGACTGATGACGTGTAGTCGATAAGCCCTTCCTGAGAGCAGCTGGCTGAGATCCCTTTGTACCCCTTTGTGAGTGGTGTCTCAGGGTACAGTCCTCTGTTCTTCGTAGGAGGTGTGGGAATATCCGACTTCTTTGAACATTCGCCCCTCTCGTAACTGCCCGTCGAGTTCTTCTTACTAGTCTTCTTTCGTATCTGCCTTTTCTTCATCTTGTGTTGCGCTTCTCTTCACGGAGTAGTCTCACTAGTCGTAGTGCCTCTTCTTATGTATCCGATGAATCTTCTGTAGTGGACGTACTCTCCTCAGTATCAGATAAGGTTGAAGAAGATTCCACGACCCTTGTCATCATCTTCTTCTTCTTCGAAGATCTCTTCGTCTTCTCCTTTGCCTTTGTAACCGCCTTGCTCTTTGGTGAAATCTGAGGACTTGTAGCTTTGTCTTCCTGCCTGGCTGGCCACCTTCGCCTTCTCCATTGCCTATTTTTGATGTTTCTTCCATTTATTGGCAATTTCTGCTTGAAGTTGCAGGCACATCTCCTCGGTTCTCCTGGCCGTGTCGATGTCCCATCTCTTCTCTTTTTCCTCCTTCGCACGTCATTTTTCTTCCTCTTCGTCATGCTTCTGTTTTTCTGCTCGTTCTGTCATCAAATCGCGAAAAAAAATATGTATCTCATCTTCTTGCTGTGTTGATCTACTCCTCTTAGTCCACCAGTCACGTGCGATGTGTCCAGGTTTGCCGCATTCGTAGCAAACTGGACCGCTCCATCATCTTCCACAACCTCCATTGTTACCGTTATTGTTATTATTATTGTTCCCACTATTCCCCATATTGCTACCACCCCCATTGCTATTCATCTTGTCTCGTCTCCAAAGTTAGGACAAAGACTAAAAATCTGTATTCCAAGAAACACTCGAACAGCGTCCTCGTCGCGATAATTCAGAAATCCCAAATATATCGGCTATCTCTGCTACCTCTGTAACCCATAGTCTCCGTCCTAGTCTCAACAGCCATATTGCCCTTGCTATACGTGCGAGAATGTTCTGAAGCTGTTTGTATACTGCAATCCGTGTCCTAGCGTTCGAAATACGTAGTGTTGTTTCGAATACCAGGTATATAGTCCTATGTACGTAGTTATCCAGAAAATTTACCAATCTACGCTTGATAGTTGTCGTAGTGTTTCTATTACTACAAATTCCTCCACACCTTGCACACGTTCTCGTCATCGTAGTTCTAGAAAGCCAAACTAATGACAACGATACCGACACCACTTATCAAACCTAGTCCGCATAACACCATGCTGAAACTCCTATCTGTCTTCATACTCTCTTCAACTTCAAAATCAAAATCACAGCCACCGTTAAGCTTAGAAAACCCCGGTTACAGTGTTCCCAGGAGTGGCAGACAGCGGCAACAGCCTGTCCGGGAGGGCACAGTAGCACAAAGAATCATGAACATGTAGACTTAGAAAACGGAGTCATGCTTTGAACAAACCCGTCGAAACGAGCTCAACCTTCAAGGAACATCAACAAAAGTCCACTTCCTACATGCCACGAAACCTTCACCACCATAGCCAAAATCACCCGCATAAACTCGACAACGCGGTCCTTCTACCGGTTTCATCCGTCTGCAACAGAATCATCAGATGAGACTCGTGCCTTATCCCT